GGTGGGAGAATGCCCTTCGTGGGCTGAGCACCGCCGTGTCCTCAGGGAAGTGATCGGCGATGGCGACCTCTCGCGTCCGGGCCTAGTGCAGGCCATGATGCGGAGCGAGGGGGATTGGGATGCCGTCTCCTCCTTTTGCGAAGCAGTCATGCTAGCTAAGGAGGAGGCGGGACGCGTGAGGCAGCGAAGCGCTGCCTCCTCGCAACCCAGCCATCGCGAAGGACACACCGGGCGTCGGGGATCGCGGGACGATCTCCGGCCACCGTAAGCGCGGGCCTGCGGACGGCGAGCATGGGTGGCTCCCCGTCCGACCAGAAACAGACCCGAGCGTACGGCGCGTCGCGTTCCGCGCGCGCCTCAAAGAGCCATCAGACCACCACAGATGGGGCCCAATAGGGCCGATGCCGATTCGGAGTCGCGGAGAACCTAACGGGTAACCGGGGCTCCGGCTCGACGTGCAGGAGAAGGAACGGGGTGGTTTTTAGTCAGTAAGAGTCTGACACTCCCTCCCGCCTCACCCAGGCGGGGGCAGTCATTCGATGATTTTCCCCCCTTTAAAAAAAAAAAAAAACAAGACTTTCGATAGTTGTTACTTAAAATTAGAACTTTTGAGTTTCTAATTTTGAAAATTTGTGTTCCATAGGAACTTTAAAAAGTATTATCGAATAAGAATGACGTATTAGAATACATGTAGTAACAAAATTGGCTCTGTAACGTTCGACTGAATGAAGGTTGATTTCTAATTAAAAGAAGGCTACATGATATGAAATGCCACCTACCAAGCCAAAAGAGTGCAGTTTCCCAAGCCCATAAGTAATTTTAGATACTTCACGTTAGTTCGGCTCCAAAATTCCACCAATTTCTTCCTTTGCTCCGTTGATATATCGAAGTACGGGGATTCCATAGAACTGGCCAGTTCCTTGTAAAACTTTTCGTGTGCCAACTAAAATATTCGATTTGATAAAAAAAGTATTAGTAAGGTAAAATGACTTCCAGCCATCGATCGGTCGTAAGTTTTAATCGACACTAGCAATTTATATTTTAGTTACAAAATGTTTAGTTTCGTCTATTATTGCTGAAACGCGGATGATACATATCTATTATAATAATGTGCTTCATAGGGTAAGTTCTGAGTCACGGCGCATCGCGAAAGAAAAATCCGTCGAGCACGAAACAAATACTTGCTGGATCGTGTCCGCTCCTGTTCGCACTTCCAGCAAGTTCAAACTAGTTCAAACATGTCGAGTATTTTTCTCCGCTTACGCGATACGCCGTGACTCAGGACTCGGCCATACCCTTTCGGGAATTGAAGACCTTGATGAAATGTACTTACCATGTTCCTGTATCTATAAAACGTGATAAATTGTAAGAGGGACACGTTGAGGTTCCCAGCGAATTCATCGAAACTCGTTGTTTCCATGAACCCGTACCATACCACTCCGCACACGAGCAGTACTATCATCAGCTTCACAGTGTTACTGTACACCAGGTAGCCTATATTGTCATCTGCAGTAGACATACCTGAGGAAAACTTTGCAATTACATTGGCTCAAGTAAATTGTTGGAAACAGTTGGAACACGGATGTAAGGTTACCCTAGATATTGCACACAGTCTACATTCCTGTACGTTGTCATATATTGTCGACGCAAAAATATGAGGAGATATAATTTTTTACATGAAGGAAATGTAATGATTCTAAAATCATCTATTGACTTCTCCCGCCCTAGGTGAAGTGAAGGGGAGCGTCAGACTAATCCTGACTAAAACGTACAGCCAAAGCTACGGTAGCTTCATGCACTTCATCTGCAGCAAAAATGTCGTCTGTTGTCGTCGTACAGTGAAGTCGGAAAGTGCAGCAGGTATATCTAGTATCACCAGTACATCCATGATGAAGTCTCTGTGACAACTTTCAACTAAGTGCAAGTTGCTCTCTCAGGTCCTAGACTAGTTTGTAGAGTCAACATTAAGATGAATTGGACAGACTCAAGTGTGAAATTGTTGATTAATGCGAACAGATGCTTGTTGTAACTCGAGGAATGCGCAATTTATTAATATTTAATAGGCGTAAAGCTTGTTAGGTTATCATTTACGTTATTATAATTTATTGTTTACAAGCTAAAGGCGGCTTCACTTCTATCGAATATTGTGAGAACGAGAATCTTTCTGCCTGAGATAGAAATATATATTTTTTTCCTAAATACAAACCTTGTCTTGATAGTAAAAAATAATATGAAAACCAAATCAATACCGAAAGGATGACTAGCAGAGAATGCTGTTAGCATTAAGTCTTCCTTATGCAATTGTATAAAACTTAAATAAATAAATAAAATAAAATCATATTGGTTTTACCATGGGTTATACCTATTCGTTGTAGAAGTCATATGAACTAAAATGATAATTGTAGGTACATAGACTTCCAACATCAATTTTACCACCCCAAATCATCAAAATATTTTCTAAGAATATAAGGGTATAATAATTTACCTGCCATATATGCGATTCTATAATAATTCTCAAAGAAAATTGTCTCCAGTCTTCCACTTGATCGGTCAATAGCTTTTGTGTAGGACAATTTGAGACAGAGGTTTTTGATGAGACCCATTGTTGGTGACGAACCTCCTTCGACAATGTCCGTGACTTGAAGTCCCCAGCTCTCTTCAAAGGGTCATAATGACCGCCCTGATTGAACGGTAAATTAATTGCTAGCCCGTTTCCATTGTACAAAATCATGTTGGTTTTATTAGTGAGTATAGTAATTTGTGACGAATCATATCGTATAGAGAAATACAGGCAGTAGGCAGGAATAATAAGAGGTATGGTTTTTATAATTTGCTATACTCGTTCAGTAACGAAAATAGGGCTAATTTTACTTAAAACGTCATTTATTAGTTAAATTGAAGAAGATTTTTTTATACTACGACGGTGGCAAAAAAGCACACGGTCCATCTGATGGTAAGCGATTACCGTGGCCTATGCACGCTTGCAACACTTGGGGCATTATATGCGTCTTGCCGACCCTTAAGAAAGCTATTCACTCCCCTCTTAAAGAACCCCATGTTGTATTGTTATTGATGGATATTGTTTGTTACTTATATTCGACATCTTTAACAAATAACAAGCATGATGTTATGTTATACTGAGTATGTAAGTAGATAGATACCAAACTTCTGTTTCTCAAAATCTTTAATAGGTACTTACTTGTTACTGTAACAATGAAAAGAAAAACAAAAACATAAAAGTAAGTAAATATGATATTAAATAGACAATTTGCATATCAATGAACAGTTAATAATGGGAGGTTGTAAAATAATCCGCCGGAGCCTCAAATTAATACCGACAAATTCACTTTACAACTGTTTAGATCTTTTGTTCAGAATATTCAATCTCACATTAGCATATACATGAATAAAATTCAGTGATAATTCTATCCTATTGTATTCCTTTGTGAACGAAAGCAATAAATAATTCAGTGCTCAGAAACTATTTAAAATACCCCATTCATTATATTCAGATTAAGTGCTTACCCATTTTAAATCCATTAGGAGCTATTAAGGTATTTTAATTGAACTTGTAGTCGTCATAGCCTCTTTGGTTTAATAGACACAAGTACTGAATATTTCACATCAACAGTCTATCAGAGGCCACTGCTGACCAAACGACTCTTCTCGCACAGAGAAGGTTTGAGCATTAATCACCACGCGTGCTCAATGCGGGCAATGGCAATATCAAACTTCTAATTAGAAATTATAAGTCTGGACTTATAATTTTGAAAGTATCTACATATAACTTGGAAAAAGTTACATTGGTAATTGCAATTGGTAGGTTTCGAACCTGCACCCTCATGCATGAGCCTATAACCTCCGTCTTAACTACCACGACTAATATTTACGAAGTAGCTATACAACTGTTTTTATGGGACGCCCTATCCTGCGCCGAACAAGCAGACATTCCATGGACACCCGTAGTACCAGAAGAGCTTTAACCGCTTTGAGGACCGCAATAGCCACTGCCAAGGGGTGTCCCCAATACCGCCTTTACCATAAGGGCTCGTGCCCAGGGCCCCCATCCTCAGGGACCCCAAAGGATCGACAATTTCTACGACGGAAACACACCCACTACACGTTGGCAACTGGATGCCGCACAACTTGTAGCGGGTTCAATTGCCGCACGGATCCAATCTTTGTGTGCCAGGAATTATTGTGCCCAACGGCCCCAGCGTAATCTAAGACGGCCCTGGGTACCCCCAGTATTAAATGGAACTCATAACATAACTGTTGAACAATTGATGCTGTATTAAAATGTACCTCTACATTAAAGTAAGTTAAAAGATTAGTAATTAGTTAAATGATTTATTAACAGTCGATATACTTTGGTATTATACAACATTGAATACTATCACAAACATCGAGATCTTGGGCTATATAGGGTCTTAATCTTAACACATAAATCGGGTATTTTTCAAAACCTCTTACAATTTATGCAATCAACAAAACATAATTATACCATATATGACAGTTAATAATTATATGGTGAGCATTAGATAGATACGTAATAAATATATCTAGATTTTTTTAATATTATATTTGATTTGATGGGTCGACGTTTAGCCACTACCTCGCCTGGTGGTAAGCGATGAAGCGGCCTATGCACGTCTGCCCATAAGCAACCTATTCACTCAGGCCTTGACAACATCCAGTTTAAATATAACCCTTCAAAATGCCTTGTTGTTTTTAAGTCTTTTTGTTTAACATCAAAATATAGGATGTTGATAATATTTCGCAGTGCTCTACAGACCACATAAGGATGCTTACTCTTGAAACCAATCTCAATGTCAATACAATTTCAATCCAGTATAATCTCAATAATTATGTCAAAACTGTACAACCCCTATAAAACCAAACTCAATACCATTTAGTGCATGAAATATCCACGCAATACGGATGCAATAGGCGCTAGTGTTACAACTCAAGATTACGAAATTTCACAATGTCAATGTCGATAGATCGAAATTGGATTCAAGAGTAAGCACCCAGGTAGATACATACTGTATGCATTTTGAACTTTATAGACCATGCAATGTCGATATTTTTTGACAACGAAAAATATAAAAGTAGGTCGAAAACAAAAATAAATATCACAACAATGAGACAAAAAAAAAATTGAAAGTTATTAAAAATGCGACAGATAACTTTTTTTTAACAACGACACATATTGGCTGACACTAGACGTGTTCTCTATTAAACAATGTTTGTAAAATTAATTGTCAAGTAAAAGAAGACTATAAGAGTGGTAGTGAAAAATACCCTTAAATTATCTTAATCTACTGTATACACAATTCAATTACACCTACATAATATTTTATCCATTTTAAAAGATACATGACTATGTATATTAACCACTTATACTAATTAAACTGTCAAACACCAAGCGGTCACCGGTGACCGCAACCTATTGTTCTATAATTGTGTCTATATTGACGGTACTCGACGAGTTAAATAATCATTTTCTTAGTCAACTTTATCTTAAACCCACAAAGTCTAATATCCTTTGGCAGCAAGACATATTTTTAGCTCTTACTTTAGAATTTAGGCTTATTTAAATACACTTGAATCCTAACTCAAGTATTTATAAAGGATCAAAAACTTGAGTTTGCTTTTTGCCGGTATCATCTTTAGGATAACAAGACTTAAAGAATTTCTAATAAAAATGAGATTCAACAGGCGATATTCAAATTTGTCTAGTTTATCGATCAGATAGGATAAGGTTTTCAAAGAGCCTTTCCAAAAATGTCTTCGTTTACATTAGAAAATTGAGAAAGTTATTTTTATGGCGTCAGAATTTTAAGAAACATTATTCTGTTTGCATGATATAATTATGCTCTTCTTTTATATTCCAGCAGTGTACTGTCATGGACAATTGATAATTTCCAATAGACTGTTACTAAATGAACGATACATTATTGGGCAATCAGCAAACAAGTTTTGGCCAGGAACTTAAAAAGCTCCGTTATTTCCTAGGACTAGACTAGATAAACAAAAATTCTCGCTAATCATAACAATCATATAACTATTTTACAAATCCAAGTAAGTTATCTTCGTGGCAGTGACGGCAGCCGCTGCAGCTAATGTGGCAGCAACTGCTACTACTGCTGCAGTGGATCCCATGGCTTTGACTGCGAAACCCATGATGAAGGAAACTAGGAGTTGTGCCACAAACACACAGCTGCTGATCACAGCTACATCTGTGCCGATGCCTCGTTCTTCTCCACAACCACCGCCCCCGCTGTCCCACTAGAGAAAAACACAGATTTTAAATAAATATTATATGATCGGTTTGTAAAGGGATCATTTAATGACTTCTACTTTCATAGTTGTGTGATAAGTTACAGAGTGTGTCAACCTCTTACTGACTAAAAACAACAAGATGTTATAGGGAGACCTACGTCTTTGGTACAAATATGAATGTAAATCAAAAAAGTTATAAATTTTGTGATAAATCGAAATACTTTTCACATAAAGAAACAGTTTATAGCGTGATGTGAGCATGGAAACAGATTCAGTATCGTTTTAAACTGAATTTTTGATGCTTGATCATTCTTAACTGCAACAATTAGCAATCATTTGATCAATTACAAGGCACACGTTCTTTGAAGTGACTCAAAGGGGACATCAAAGGATGGATACGTTGAAATATTAATTGCAGGTTCCAAGTTAAAGCTAAAATAACCAATGTCGTATATTAAAGTACTTTATTCTAAATATTTACTTTCATGATTTTGACGTAAATTTGCTTTATTTATTAGTAAAACAAGCTATTTTGTACATAATGAATTGAAGTTAATTGAAAACTGACTCTTACAGTGAAGGTAATTAGTAAGCTGTTCATTAATCCTTGAATGTAGATTTTCTATGAAATTCTTATTATACATTTTTAAAAATAATTTCTTACAACACAGGAATTTGCTATTTAAGATAAATTATTTAAAGTAGTGTTGACAACAATAAACTTTAACTTCTACTGGTTGGCTCGAAGTAGGATTATATGTTTTATATTGATTGCCTCGTTGGCGGAACGGTCGCAAGTGTGACTGCCGGGCAAGGAGTCACGGGTTCGATTCCCGGGTCGGGCAAAGTATTACAGGGTTTTTAAAAAATCTCAGTAGTAGCACGGAGTCTGCAATTGTGCCCGGTATATGACAATAGTCTCACCCCCTATTACATGGGACTTATAACATAATTATAGTGAAAAGTAGGTGTTATCCCCTTCGGGGATAAAAGCCGTGATATTATGTTATGTTATATTCACTTTAACTCGTCGAGTACCGGTTTTGTAGACACAATTATAGAACAATAGGTTGCGGTCACCGGTGACCGCTTGGTGTTTGACAGTTTAATGAACCTACTGAAAGCAACAACAGCAGACATCCTATTCAGGGATGGTAGAGTGACTTTAATCAGGATCTCATAAACCATGAGGTAACAAAAGAATTGACACCACCCCTGTTCGTCATATAGAGATCAGAAACCATGCAACCTGCATGCCAAGTGAGGAGATTAGTTGTAGGTAAACCATTATAAGTAAGCAGATGAGGCTCATAGTCTAACAGTATATTATCGCCGATTCTTGATAATGTGTAGGGTAGTAGGCTCTTACCATGCCTGTAGCGTGATAGTGAGCGACCAGGAGATAAGGCATGGTGAAGAGCGTGGAGTACATAACTCCAGCGGTCCAGCTGCACAGCAACACTGCGGCCTTCGCCCTGATGAGGCACAGCGCCATCATACCGCAGCTGTAAGTGCAGAGACCACCCACGTACACGCGTTTTGCTCTGAAATTTATATGAAAGAATTGATTACTTACAGTACATTTATTTTGTAATACATATAAAATAATGTGTCATGCTATGATTTTAGTCATCTGTATACATAAAAATGAATCTCTTTTTCCCTTAATCACGCGTGAATCTTAAGAACCCTCTTCTAATAATAACAAATACAACAAAAAAATAATTAGTAAAATCGGTGCAGATTTTACTAATTATTTTTTTGTTGTATTTGTTATTATTAGAAGAGGGTTCTTAAGAGAGAAAAAATCCTGAAATGCCTACGGAACGGGAGAAATCGGGATTGCGCGTACGAAGTCGCGGGCAGAAACTAGTTTTATATGAATCTTAAGAGTTCGTTTATTTGTTTGTTTGAATGCGTTAATATCTGGCACTGAGACCAGTCTCAATTAAATAATTCTGTTTGATAGTCCGATTATCAAGGAACGGTAAAGACTATAAATATCATACTACAATTAATAAGAGCCGAGAAGAGCTGGTCAAACTGTGTGGGAGTAGCTAATATCTAACAAAATATTTTACATTTCCCAATAATCATAACCCACGTTATAACCAAAATGAAACAACCATCTTCATTTCGCATAGGTAATAAAAGCTATAAAACCATATTGGTTAGACTGTAAACACTGAGAACATTAATAAATTGGTTGGGATCGCTAATTAGTGTGTGGCTAGCCTAATAAACACATGAATGCTGAACGAGATTAATGAACGCACATGCAGATTCGCAAACTAGCTCCGTAATTAATCTGTCTCGTTTCGGTTTCAGCTATTTGGATAAAAGTGGGTGTGACGATATTGTTTTTTTTTTGTGCTTAAGCCGGTAAACGAGCAAACTCGTCACCTCATGGTAAGCAATCGACGTTGCCCATGAACACCTGAAACACCAGAGGCGTTACAAGTGCGTTACCGGCCTTTAAGAGATTAGGATTTTAAGGATTATTGGGGATTCGAGGATTTGGGTGAATGGGGAGGTGAGTAATAAAGAATCCGGTAACCTCACTCACACGACGAAACATATCGCAAGCGTTGTTTCACGTCGGCTCGACCAGAGTGATACCAGCCCATTCGCGCCAAAGTATGGCTCTCCCACACTTACAACTTGTGTAAATATATACGGATTTTTTATCAATTACTAAGAAATGTTCCGTTGAAGTGAATATAAAGTAGACACATATAGGGCCGGCTCAGACTACGCTGGTGCCTTTGGGCATACAATAATTCAGGGCTCTTTTGACATATTTCTCTTTTTTTAACTGTGTCCACACTAAGATTTTCTATATCGTACAAACATATATTTTCACATACCTACACATGACACCCGAAACAACAATTCGTGGATCACACAAAGATTTGCTCCGTGCGGGAATCGGCTGGACGTTGCGGATCAGCCGATTACCGCGCAACGTGTATCGGGTTGGTGTCTGTCGTAGAAATTATCGGTCCTTCGGGGCCCCCTGAGAATGGGGGCCCTGGGCACAGGCTCTGAGTGCTCTTATGGTAAAGACATTACCGGACACCTACATTTATCACGTCACCAAGCACCGCTACTCTTTCCATAGGTGTCGTTACCAGCTATTCAATTAATACTAATGCCCGTTTTCACTTCTCATAAACTTTAAGGAAAAACTAAGCTAAGAAACGTGACACTAAACACCATTTTGATTTTCACCGGCCTATAGTTAAATGACACTTAACAGTGTACTGATGCCTGTAGGCAAGGAGAAGTGCTCCGACACGCTAAGTAACTCTTAGGAAATGGTTTAGGAGTGACATACAGACAGAGGTCGAACAGCAGTGCTCTCTGTAAATACTGAACTTTTTAAATATTTGATCCACGAGGTGCTGAGACTACGACAAATTCTTGTAGAGAGGCCGTAGTCTCGTAGTCCGTAGTCCAGTAGGCTGTCGCAGGCTGCCGATAGTTATAAAGAATATTCTTATATATGGCTGTCTATCCTGATGCATATTGTATTCAACGTATTTTGGTATCTTTGGATTGCCTACTTAATAATGTGTGAGTAGGACTGCCTCGTTGGCCGAGTGGTCGCAATTGCGACTGCCGGGCAAGGGGTCTCGGGTTCGATTCCCGAGTCGGGCAAAGTATTACTGGGCTTTTTCAAAAAATCTTAGTAGTAGCATGGAGTCTGGAATTGTGCCCGGTATATGGCAATAGGCTCACCCCTATTACATGGGACTCATAATATAAGTAGTGAAAAGTGGGTGTTACATTGTACAGTGGCATTAAGTGCCGTAATGTACACCTCTGCCTACCCCTTCGGGGATAAAAGGCGTGATATTATGTTGTAATGTTGTTGTAAGTCAGTAAGTAAGTACTTCCTGGTATAAGATAACATCCATAGAATATAAAATTGCCCTTTATAAAATATTTACTCTGTAAATAATTCCAAGATATAACTCGCACGATCCAAACTAGAATGTTCCCGATTTCCTCACACCATTTGTCGATAAATTCAATTTTATCGTATTGCTTGCTTGCTTGGAACACATTGAGTGTCAGAATTTTGTAGATGCAAAACTTTAACGTATATTTTTTGATAGACAATTTATATTTACTTGTGATACAAGTAATAAAACATAAACATAAAAATATCACAAGTAAATATAAATTATAGTCTCAGTATTATTTAAACGTTAATATTGAACATTTATTAACAATTTTGTTTCTTATTTTACACTCGTTAGTCATTGTATAGTTTGAATAGTAACGGGGTAGACTCTTTACTTATGTTTAAGATTTTAAGGCATAACAACACTAATTTTAATAGTATTTTATTATAGGTCGGTACTCGTTTGATCCTTTACTTACTGTCTTTTGATTTAGGTCGAATTTCTATGTTCTTCTGATTGATCTTGTACTCTTGTATTTGGATTTAAGCATTTTTTCTTTCTTACTTTGTTCTCCTAATCCTTTACACTAATCCAAACCTTACAAAATCATAGAGCGGCCATGTAAACCGACCCGGACGACGTCCAGACGAGCTAAGCTTGTAACGTTATTGATTTTTAAATCTGAACGAAGCCGGCAAACTGTCAGCCAGGAAGAATAGTGCAAAGTCAAGGATTCCTTGATCTCATTACACTGAGATAGTGTTTACTTGTGAGCTGTCAAGTTGAAGGCCAGACGCCATAGATAACGACTTATATGAACGATCGCTTGATACGAATATGGTGTAACATCCGCAAAAATGTGTAAATTGATACATTGTTTTTTGTATTTAAATTATGGAATACAATACGAATATCTTCATTGGTTATCTACTAAAAGGATTGGTAGTTCATTAGTCTCTGTATATAAGTTATAATTCTCCATTTGGCAGTACCTAATTACGATTAGATAGGTAATACTTAGAATACTGCTCTCTTGACTG